AAACAGCAAAAAAAATATTATAATGCATTTATAATAAATATACGAAATATACTCTTTCAATATATGCTTTTATAATCCGCTTTCATCCACAAATGGTTACTTAAGAATATAAAGCATAATATTAATTTGAAATTTCCTAAAATTAACCTTTAGAATAATGACTGCTAAAGGATTTCCATGCATATTTGAAGGGATTTTTGCTAAATATTCATTCAGAAAGCTTAGTATCATGTAAACTCAAGGAGAACCAAAAGTGGAGGCATGCATCAGCGAAGGCAGTAGCGGACTGAATAAATACATTTGCTAAGTATCTTCCTGAACTATCTTCATTATGCAATTTCTTAGAAAATTATTCAATTTGTGAAAAGCATTATAATCAAATTGTTGCTGCTGATACTTTACTTAATAAATTCATAACAGAAAATAACTCTGAAGAAAATAATTAATGAAAAGATTAAGAATAGTTGAAGATAGCAATATCATACAAGATAATAGAAGTCTTATGCTAGAGTTAATAGATACAAGGAAATCTTTAACTAATTTTGAAGCTCAACGAATAAAATATGTTGAACTTATAAAGGAATATGAGCAAAGGATTGTTCAATTAGAATCTGAAAAAGAAGAGTTAGAAAGAAGATGGAATAGTCAATTTGATGATCAAAGAGCAAGAATTGATTCTGTAGTTGAAATTGCTAAAAAAGAATGTGGAAATTTTTATAATGATATTATTAACTTAATAGATAATCAGGAACAATTTAGTTTAGATAGTCTTTTAAGTTATTCTGTTTCCAACTGGTTTTCTAAATGAAATTCTGTTATTGTAAAGTTTATAGAAACTTTCATATGTAATGAAAATAATGATCAGCTTGAAAATGAAAAGCTTTTAAATGTGCAGTGACGGTTGATGCTATTTATGGAGCAAGAAACTTAAAGTATGTTTCTTCTATTAATCTTACTGCTTCTGCAATCAAATATTCATTAGCAAGATCTAAAACTATTATTGATATCGACAACCATATTATTAGTTCTGGTAGCTATATAAAATTTACTAACTGGTTAGAAAGCTTAGCTATTGAACAGCAATCACTTCCTAAAGGTTTCTTATGCTTAACTTTTGATAATAAGCAAAAGGGCCAAAAGAACTATCTGAATCGTGGGTATAATACAGTTGCATTTTATACAGTTATGAGTTTCGTTGCATTTTGTCATAATCAATATAATAATATTCAAACTAATACTGATCCTTGGTTATATTCTGAGTTTACTCAAAAATAATATGAAGATTTATTATATTTAACTTCAGACATGAAAAATGAAATTCATAAAGAACTTGTCAAATACCTTACAACTATATTGGAAGAACTTTGTATCGAAAAAAATCAAGAAAAAAATGTAATTGATGAGTCGGTACATCACCAAAGTAAACTAGGGTATATGAAAAAATGCTATACTTGTCAAACCGCTAATATTAATAATAAGAAACAAAATTGTTCTATGTGTAATGCCAAATTACTAACAATAGCTGAAATAACTCAACAATATAATGAGCCACTTGAGATCATAAATGCTAATGAAAAACCATTGGTCATCCTTCACCATATTTTTGAATCAAATAACCAGAATTTTATAAACTCTAATGATATACAACGATCAAATTTATAAAGTAGAGTCAATATACTACAAATGTTTATTCCCAATCCAATAGGTATTAATCTGAATTCAATTGCCAATATTCAGAAGGTTCTTGAACATATTGAAGAGATATCTGATATTAAATAAGGTGATCGTAAGTGGGTTATAGTTGTCTGTGATAGAATATCATATAGTTACATACAGAAAATTAAAAAAAAACTTCCCTTAGCTTATATTAGTTCTAGGTGTTCTTTATGAGGAAATGAACATATTAAAGTCATTTGTTGAACTGAATTGGAATATTGACATGAAATATTTCGCTCAATGTTAAGGATATTGAACTGAGAATCAACTTCATTTTTTTAAAAAATACGCAGATCATCATAAATCTTAGGATTCAATATGTAACATATAGATATATGGCTTCTGAATTAATGTGGCCATATGTTATTTTTGAAGAATTTCCTTCTATTGATGGTTATCTTACATAGGCCCAGAATTAAACTAATTCTACATTTCAACTAAAATATAAACAAATTTTTTATTACTTACAAGCAATTATTAATTTTTATATTGGTGTTCGTATGAATAGGTCTTTATTAAAAGGTGCAGCTAGACAAATGTTTGCACCCATTTGGTCCATCAGATGACATCCAATTTACTGATCAATTAAGATTATGAATGAAGAACAAATGCTAAGACTAAAGCCTGAAGTTTGTGATTTGATTCAAGAAAGAACTGTAATATTACAATTTGGACTTCTAAATCAATATCAAGGTCTTGATATAGTGCTTGAAGAAGTTAATAAAGCACTTAAGTCATTGATTCCTCCCATACCTTCATAACGACATTGGGAAATAGCAGCATGCAATTGTACTAAATTTATGAAATTACATACTAACTTATTTAATACAATAGGATATTCTGAAGGTGAAATTTATAGGCTTTGTACGTGTTCTGATTTTGCAATTGAATCACGTCAATTTCGAGTTCAAATAAGAAAACTCAATTTATTGATTCTAATAATACTAATAATTAAAATTTTTAAAATATTACCGATGAATGGATGCTAAGTGAAGAACTAAAAAAATTTAGTGAAATTGCACATATAAAGTGAGCTGAATTTATTAAAGCAGTATTAATTGACAAAAGACCATTAGGAATTTGGCATTCAATTCCTATAATACGTGAAGAAGCAAACCTTCAACAATCTGAAACTTCTTTAACAAAATCTGAAATTCTAACAATCATTAATTCTTTAATTCCATCTTTAAATGATTCAGATCAATTATGTTTTCGAAGCTTATCAAGTAAATCTTGTGATAATTTATTAAATATTCTTCAAGAAATTAGAAATATTCTAACTAAAAATAATAATTTTATTGGTGAAAACTAATATATTTATTATTTTTTATATATATGTATATCATTTTTTTTAAATAATAAATAAATTAAGTTGATTTATAATTCTAGTTAAATATATTCATAATTTTTGATTTCTATATTTAGAGATGTATTAAAATATTCTGATCAGCATTTCTTTATCATAAAAGAAAAAGATTGTCATATCAATTTTGGTAAAATCCTAGACTGAAATATGGCAAAAGACTATTTATTTATATAATCAACAAGTGTACCAAGTAAGCAAGCTTTTAACATAGCTAAAAATATAATTAGTCAAATAAGGAATAGGCTGGATCTATAAAAAACACAAGCATCATTATGCTTAAAAAGTTGGATTGATAGTGAATTAATAACTTTACAAAATATTTAAATTTTTATATTTATATATAGTGAACTTTTAATATAACGAATTCTAGGATCTGAATATCAACTTCGTTATAAGCTTATAATGAATTTTTTAAAGAATTTAATTGGCTAGTTCACTATAGTAAGGTAATTTAATATATTTGATTTAAAAATTTGCTATATCAAGGATTCACTATATTAAGGTTTAACTATACTATTAATTATAAAATTATATGAAATTATATAGGTGATATGCTATTAAAATTGAGATATGAGATATAGTAAATCATATGATCTGTATTTTAATTTTAATAGTATACTACCTATATATAGTAATTCAACTATTATCATTTAGTCATTTAATTTTACTAATTTAGCTTTAATAAATATAGTTGTTTTAGTTATTTTATGCATATAAAATAAATATTCAATAATTTATTCTTTTAAAAAGTTTAATTTTTAAAAATATTAAAAATATTTATATTTTATTATAATATATTTTTATTTATAAATATCTTTCTATTTTTGATAACAAAGGTTAATACAAATTTTATAAGCTTAATACTATATAGGAACATTTCTAGTAAAATCAAGTCATGAGATATAGTAAATTATATGATCTGTAATGTGATTTTACTAGAAATGCTCCCATATGACTTATCTTATTAAATAAGATGTTTAAATTAATAATAAATTTTCTTTATTTATTTGTTTTTAATCTGATATACATATTATGTATTTGAATAACTCTCTTATTAATTAAGGTATATACAAAAGTATAATTAAAATAATAACTGATATAAGTCTTATTAATTGACCTATTTGTATTACTTTCTCTATCTGTAACTTAATAATTAATATAAAAATCCATGAAAATACTTATTATTTTTACAATTTTCTTTATAAAAATTCTTTACACTTATTATATATAAAACTTAATGTTTAATTTTACTAAAATTAGTTTTCTTTAGATAAAAATATATTTTTTAACTTATATTACCTTTAGTAAATATTTTAATTAAAATAATATTAAGATTTTTTATCTTGATATATTGTTTTATAATCAATCAAAATATTTTTAGAATTATATCAAAAGTTAATTGATATTTTTATGATAAATTCTTTATTATTTTTTATAAACATTTTTTTCTTATTTAATTTATTTATAGCATATATATTTTAAAGATCTTCAATCATATTCCATATAATTTTTTTTAGATAATAAATTGACTTCATAAAATTCATAATAACAATAAAAACATTATATATTTTATATATATCTTAACTGATCTGATATATCTATGATTACTAGAAAAAATATACAAACTAATTGTTTACAAACCATTTTACACATATTTTAAAGTTGATAAAGATTATATAAAACTATACTTTTTTATAATTATTATTACTGTTATAATTAAGAATTTATATTTTATTAAGAAAAAATTTTTTTTTTTTAAGTTTGCAAGCAAATTTCGCTGTTAAATATTATATTAGTAGAAATTTCTTATTATGAAAAGGATTAAATTATTTATTTATAAATAAATACATCAAATATTCAAAATTGTTAAGGAAAAAAAAGTAAAAAAACATATATACAGATATGTAAAAATTTTCCATCATGAGAAGAATTGATCCATATTCATGATGGTATTATTAATCGGAGCATAATTTCTTGCATTACCATCTGATAATTTACCAACTTCAAATACATTCCAATAACCATCGTTATTTTTGGAAACTACACACATAATAACAGCTCGCGAAGAAGCAGCAGAACTTATTGAATAAGAGCATAGCTGTACTTTAGGATTTGATGGATCATACATTTTAAATGAAGGATTCGGAAAGCAACCAATATTTGGTGATGACCAAGAACTCAAAACGAAATATAATTTCGTTACATTTGATGGCATTTCTGCTAAATTTGCTGTTATACGATGATGTCCTATTGATTAAGATGATTTTTTTTTTTTTTAAAAAAAAAATAACAATAATATATCGTTAAATGTAACTTATCAAAATTTAAAATTCCTTACCTCTCCTTGCAGCATCATTTACGATATCACCGGAATGATCCATACTGGGAATATCAACCAAAGTTTTCCTTTTATAATCAAAAATGTGGCTGTTAGATCCAGTATCCGTATAAATCAAACACGTACCATCCAAAAAGTCACGTCTTTTGTCTCTTGGATATTCCCAAAATAAGTCAAAAGTTAATGCATTTATGGATAATTCTTTTGAAATTGAATACAAAAGAACTATAAGTTGAATATGACACTCGGCTACGATTGAATATTCGGGCAATTCTCTTGGAATTTTCCCATGAGTTGAATAGGTCTAACATTGTGTATAAAAAAAGAAATCAAAAGAAAATCAATAAAACATTTTATAGAGTTACATAAGGCAAACTTACTTGTAATTCAACTCCTTTATAAATCAACTTTTGTTTATCGATTTCAATATTCGTTTGTTTATATATGGCTTCTTTTAAAGATAAAACGTTCTTAATGTTTTCCAAACTAAATTGTAATTTGGTACCATTCAATAAAACTATGTAAAATTCTCCTTTCAAATTATTCCCGTTTTGCCCGTATTGTATATTTTGTGTGGTGGGTTCCGGTTCCGATATTTTCTCTATATGAATTCGAAATGGAGCTTTTTCCCACGCTAAATTTAAATCTTCGAATTCTTCTATTGAAATGTTTTCTTCACATTCAGGACAAGTTTGTTGCGTTTCCTTCAATTTTTGAATACATAAATATTCTATGACACACTTGGTTTTGTCAAAAATAAATAAATAAAAATAAAAATAAAATAAATGAAATTTCAAAGTACTCATTTAAATTGAAATCAATTTACCCTTAAACAAAACTTGGGAACATGAAAACAATTTTTACTGATAATGTCAGATGGAAATTCTTGAGATAATTTATCAACTTTACAATTTGTACACTTCATATTTTGAAAATGAAAATGTTTTCTTTTTGAATGAGTTTTGTTAAATGTCAAATCCAAAAAAATTTGATTAATTTATTTATTAGAATTTTGATCGACATACATAATCAATCTGATAATCGAACGAAATAACTTTTTAATAAATTTCATTTCTTTTAATTATTTTTTTTTTTTTTTAAGATAATATAGCTTGTTTACCATTTCTTTTAGACTTGTTACCTAAATAGTTAGATAATAACAATTGAATTCTAATGGGATAAGAAGATATAGTAAAAGTTATTAGACCTTGAATATAAGGCCAACAAATTTGAAAAACATTATGAGATAATTGATGTTTGATGATCTTTGCCAATTTATCAGAACTTGCAAAAAGACGAGGGTTATTATTTTGAAAATGTATCGTCATTTCCGTATTAATTAATCCTGGTGCTATAAGTGACACGTGAACATTATATGGTTTAGCAATATAATGTAGATCACGTGCGAATGAATTTAAAGCTGCTTTCATGGAATTATAAAATGCTGTTATTGGTGTATTAAACCATCCTGCAATCGAAGAAGTAACTATGAAGGCGAAAAACGAAAATTATTTATTTAGAGTTACAAAAAAAAAAAAAAAAGGTAATTCATTGGGAAAGTAATGAAGGATCCAACACGTACTTGCTATTTGACCACGTCTTCGTAATTTCATTCGTTTATAAACCGTCATTATACTAGCAATATTTCCAGTATAATTCACGTCAATATAAGGTTTATATGAGTCTTCCCATTCTTCTTTACCAAAGTTATCTCTTGTAGTAGCTATTTGGGCTAATAAGAATACACAAAATATTAACGTTACAAGTTACTAATATTCTGTATAATGCGCAATACGACGAATTGAACTTACCGGCGTTAGCAAAGAACAAGTCGATTGGATATTTGTCATCGAAATTTTCTAAAGCCTCTTTTAAAGCTTCAAAATTTGAAATATCAATTTTCAAAATCTCACATTTTGCTCCCTTTTCTTTGCAAATCTTGGCTACTTTTTTTAATTTTTCTAATCAAAAAAGAAAAAAACTTGATTTAACTTCTAAAAATAACGGTAAACATGTAACTCGATGCAAACAAACCTTCGTTTCGAGCCAAAAGACCTAAAATAACTCCAGGTTTCGCATACTCTTTTGCAAGAGATGCTCCTATACCAGAGCTAAAAACAATCAAAGTAAGACAAATATTTATGACATTTTGATTTCTAAAACATTATTATTTTTCCCAATAAATATACCTTGCTCCCGTAATCAAAATGATTTTTGGATCCACAGGTTCTTTATTAGAAAATATCGATCCCAGGTCTTGGATAAATAAGACGATAGTGATTGGAATAACAATAAATACATTTGCAAAAAGAACCGAAATCATTTGAATTGTTGATTGTAAAATTGGAGGAATTGTAGACGGATAAGAATTATTGATTTTAAATAATAAGAGAAAAATTAATAAAATTATTAAAATAACTGATAACATTTTCAAAGCGATGCTTTCAGTTATGAGATTGAAATATGTAAAATATTATTTAAAGAAAATTATAAAGGCTTGTTAACGCAATTTAAAACTTTTAAAAAAATATACTTAAAAAACAATCGTGTATTTTATACAGTTTATCATTACTTCATTAGCTTTGCGCATGGTGATTTACATGAATTTACACAGCATGAGAGTTCCCATTCTTTACATTGTGCACAAATAAAATCAATATAGGTTGTTTGCAATGCAATCATATGATTTAATATGGAGTCGTTATTCTAAATAAAGTCTCTAAATATTGTTATTTTAAATAATATTATTGTTCATACTTTTAATATTTTAATGTTTTGATATATTATATAAATTTGAAAGATAAAAATATCGATTATATACTTAAATATATAGATGTAGTGTAGGAAGATAATAATTCAATAATTGAAGTTGATTTGTCTAGACAATTTGTCAGGATTATTATGGTCACAAGACTGCACAGTTTGGGACGGGTTATACATAAAAGGAAATTCTTCTGAAGTCCCCAATTCTTCTAATTGGTTGAAAACATTGATCAGCATTTCTATAATAAGTACGATCGACAAAAAACCATCCAATAATAAAATATAAAACTCTGAGTAGCAATTATACAATCCGCAACAAGAAAATAATTTTATCTTTTCATATATTCAGAAAGTATACAGATTTCTAACTCTTTATTAAAAATTTTAAAACAAATTCTATAACAATATAAAGAAGACCTTTAAGCTTCGTATAATAGACATACTTTAAACTGTATAAATAATGCCCGATTTAAATTGATCTGCAATGGGAAGTCACCCTAAGTAGTTAAACCAAAATTTTAATTAACCCGTGACCAGAATTAGTTGATTTTATTTAAAAAGTAAAAATAAAATTTATAAATGTCAGCTTTTACTTGAAGATGGCCGTACTAGTTGACGATTGTTTACTTGAGATATTTGAATATTTAGAAAATGATCCAAGGTCATTACATTTTTGTGTTCTTGTAAATAGACGGTGGTGTCAACACGCAATTTCAGTTCTTTGGAGAAACCCATGGAAGTATCGACAAGAAGGGTCCTTAAAAAATTTAATCGATGTATATATTTCATTATTGCCAGAGAAAACTCAAAATAAATTATTACGAGATGAAATTATCGATAGTCCATTGTTTAAAAAACTCACTTTTGAATATTCGAAATTCTTAGAAAGTATTGTATTGAGTGAGTTAGTCGATGATATTGTCCATTGGATCCACAATAAACCTATTAGAATTCCTGATTATTCCTTTAACTATAAGCCTCAACGTAAAAGGGATGCCGCAAAGAATCATACAAAGGAGATTTGGGATGAATTATATGCAGATAATGATAGAATAATAATTCAAAAAGCAAATTTCAAATATAGTAAAAAGAATTTAACTTATGAATTACTTAAATTCTTTCTGACTAATTCAACAAATATTGATGCACTTTATACTACAAATCCTAGCATTAAGAGCTTTTGTTATATAATGGAAATTATTGAAAGAAATCCTGTAACGAAAAATCTGATCGATAATTTAAGAAAATTACAATTTGGGAGCAATGTAATACATTTATTACCACGAACCTTATGTAATGTGGAATATTTGGAACTTGAAAATTGCAATTTATGTTCAGATGGTTTAAGAAATTTTATTAATGCACAAAATAACTTGAAGGAATTAAGTGTGAAAATTAGTAAGGCACGTGGTGATATCAAAAAAACTTTAGATATCATTTCAAGTAAAGTATCAATTACCCGACTTATTATTGACGATTCCCCGGGGACTTGTTTTATCTTGAAAGGTTTTGAGAATTTAACGGAATTGATTATAACGTATAATGAACAATATAATATAAGTTTTTGGAAGCATATGGCAAAGGCGTCATTAAGGAATCTCAAGAAGTTGATAATCAACTATAATTATACCATATATTATGATCTTATCGCAAAATTTATCGATAATTCTTCTTGTGATTTGGAACAATTTATTATCAACACAAAAATTCAAGAAGATCAAAGTGTTGCTGATTTATATATTGGGTCTATCAGTAGACATTGTCCAAGTCTAAAGGTTTTCCAAGGGGTAATAAATGAATCTAATCTATCTGCATTCTCTCATTTATTAAAATGCACCAATCTAAAAATATTACATCTTTATCCAACACAAAAAATGTGTCAATTTGATGGTTTCATGAAAGCAATTATGGAAAATTCTTCCGATAATTTATCTAGATTATATTTAGAAACCGGGTGGAAATTAATGAAGTTAGGAAGTTTTAAAAATTTTATGAACGAAAGGAATTCATCAGGATTAAAACCAATTTCTTTTCATTGTCATAAAAATTTTGTTAATCGTCGTTCAATATTTTTAAATCTTTGTGAGGATTATAAGCGAAAAGATTATTTGATAGATTATCATTTGTACGGAAATTTGAATAGTTATGATTGAAAAGAAAAAAAAAATTTTTTTTTTATTCTAACGTTGTGTGTTACAAGTTAAATAATAATAATTATAATGCAATTTATGATATTAATCTTCTTATTGAATAAATAAAACTTTTGCGTCAACTGGAAAACCAATTCTTTCCAAAGATCTTCTAGCACCTTCCATCATGCCATAAGGACCACAAACGGCAACCTTACAAGCTTGAGTGGCATCTTGACTTAACATTCTCATAAATTCTTGTCTTTCAGACAATACATTCATTTCATTATTTGATTGTAAAGAACTAAACACAAAAGGTTGTATACTATTTCTCATTTGCAGGATACCATCATTACCATCCATTGATATATTTGAAGAGGGTAGTTGTTGTGTTTGAAGAGGTGGTGATGAAGCAGAATAATTATATAGATTTTCGTTATTATTTGTAATTTCTGGATTATATGGTGAAGCTAACATCATTTGTGGTGATTGTGGTTGAGGTACATTTACTCTTGGCGGTATTGCTGGAGGCGGTATTTGATAATTTTTCGATATCCAACTAAATAATATATTATCGTCTATATGTCCTGATAATCCTTTCCATATTGGTGGAGGTTTTGTTAAGATATGAATTACCGTAAGTTTACCATTTGATGTTGATGCAAGGAATTCTAAATATTTCATTGAGATGATATCTGATATTTGCGTATTTGCACAGAGCAAATGAAGTTTAAAGTTTGACCCGAAATTATCCGCACAATCCAAATGATATTGAATCTATGATATAATAATAATAATAAAGATTTGATTAATTTAAGATACTTTGACAAGTTTTTAAAAATTACTTGCGATTAGAGATAACATACCAATTGAATCATAGGGGTTAAACCCGTGCCACCGCAAACCATAAACAAAATATCCCAACACTGATCTTCTCTAGCAGGATTTAATAATACCCGATTATTTATTACACCACCATTTAACGTTTGGTCACTACTACCATTTACCGAATAATTTTCATCACCATAAACGCTATCTAAACCAAAATTACTTGGTTGATAATTACGTTGAGAATTGCTTACACTATTTTGTCTTAATAACGTTGTACGTTGAAGATTGCTTACACTAGTTTGTTTTAATAACGTTGCACTACGAATTAAATTCGAATTACTTCCGAACATGTTAATTGTGGAATTGGGACTTGATGGTCTGATTATCGGTGTTGTTGGTACCGTACTTGTTTGATGTGGCGATATCTGTGTATACATCCTATCTGCTACATCAAATGGTCCCCGAACTGCTATTTCGAAATTTCTCAGTTGTTTTTCCTATTGAGTATACGCATGCAGTTAGTGAGTTGGTTGTTGTTCATAGTATACGCATAATTTTAAATGCGAACTTTACTCACCAAATGTTGTGACATGATACCATCCTTGTAGATCTTAACCAATATTGTAAATGTTTTATCAGAAGGACCATGTAATGGGGTGTATGGTCTGATTACCATATGTTTGTTAACATAACTCATGATTTCAATATAATCACCGGGAAGAAATTTTGGCAACTTGTCTTTTGGATGAATGACTTGAAAGGTTAATTTCTTAACAGGATTTTCAGCATCATGTCTAGTAGCAAATTCGATATTAGTTAAGATATATCTTTTAAATATATAAGATGAATTATTTTGTGGTGTAGGTGGTGCATTATTTAATGGAGTAACAGAGGAAGTTGGATTAAAATCATCATCTTTCTTTTGTTGCCCGTAATTTTCTGCTGCATCTGAAATTCTTGCTACCACCATAGTTGCTAATTTGGCTGTAGCAAATTTTGAATGACGATGCATCGCAACTCTCGAATTTTTAAATGTGGTACTATTAATTAAATCCACGGCATTAGCTATCGATTTAGGTCGAATTGCTTGTAGAAATTTCCTTTTCTTTATACTTTTTGTATCTTTAATTTCTTCAATTTGTTTCATTATTTTTTCATTTTCTGAAAATGCTCTATTAATGACTATTTGATCTGTAGGGTCAAAGAAAAAGTCTTGTGTAATATCAGTACCAATTACTCTTCTTAATATCCTTTGTCCTCCTGGATGGATTTTAAACCACTTGTGTATATCAAATACTAATCCTTCCGCTACTACTAGATGTGCTCCTGCCATAACCCTTAAGTTAAAATCATTCCAACTTATCGCTGGTAATTGTTCAAAAACATCTTCCGGTATACGATTATAAAGACGGCTGTTTTTATCTCCATTTTCTCTGATTGGCCACAAGAATTGCAAATTTTTATATTTATAAACATACTCCGCTATAATAAATATCGCCACCACGATTGCTATATAATATATATATAAAATATATCAAATTGAATGTTTTGAATTGAAATAAATAAACAATATATGATATTTACCCAACCAAACCACATATAGTATTCTCCATGTATATTTGACAACATTAAATTGTTGTGCGTATGTGTTTAATCCAACGTATATTTGGCACCTATAAAAAATATACAAAAAAATAAATATTTGATAAAAAAAAAAAAAAATTTTTTTTTTCCATATTTATTAATTACCAAGCAAGAATCATTATTCCGAAACCTAAGTAAAAATGAAGATGCTTTAATCCGACAACAATTCCTGTACTAGCTGATTCAACTGCGGCAAGACCCCATATAGCGAGGATACCCAATCCAATTTGAAAGAATAGAATGGAATAAATTAACAATCCCAAACTGTAAAAAAAAAAATTAAACATTAAATTTTATTTTATTTTTAAAAAAAAAAATTAAAAGAAAATTATCATGAATAAAACCGACATGTCGTGCAAAAGAATTCCATGTTTAGAGACGGTTGCCATGGCCGCAGCTCCAAAAGTAATTACTATTAAACCTCCAAGCAATTGTAAATTACGATGCCGGGACATGTATGTTTCAACATGTTTCAAGTATCGAACAATAAATATCGAAGCTAAAAAAAGTATAATAATCATACATTAGAAACTATTTACATAAAAAATTTATGAGATTTAACGAAATTTAAACTCACCAGGAAATAAAATACTAGTGAATATAATAAATATTAAAAAAAAAAAAATTATCATCTTTGTATCGAAACTTAAAATTATAAAAAATTGGGTTCAAGGACTGTAAATACTAACCCCCAAGCTGAAAACATCGCAATTCCATGAAGAAATCGAGTATCCTTAATATTTTGCATACTAATATTAGAAACAGATCCTCCTCCAGTAAAGAAATTAATTTTGGTTGCTCCACGATTTCCTCCATGATATGATAGCTCATTTGAATTTGGATTCCAAGCATAAATCATTGTAATCATATCATTTGTAATTGGAGGTCGTCCATTTGGAGGAACTAATGGTCGAGTAATTTCAACTTGAGTAAAACCGCTTAACAAAGTAGGGGTATTTATTTGCTTTACAAATTGGTTGGGATCCTCTTTAGGTCGTTCATATTGATTGGATAAATAGTTCATTATTGATAAAGATGAATCATTCTTGTTCCACATAATTATCATGTCAGCATCAATCATTCCTGTATCTGAAGGATTAAATCCCAATCCGAACCATGCATTTGAACTCAGCATTGTTATTTTAAGATCAATGTTTTTATCGTTAATTTTCCATCTAATTTCATAAACTTCACTTAATTTAAGAACATTTTGTTCAGGATAATCATCCTGAATTTTCTTATTCTCCTTAATTGATGAAGTGTTAAATGTTGCGGTAGGTTGAACGCTCCAAATATTCGTTGGAAACACAAAACCTTGGGGGATATTATTTTGGATGACTGATAGCCAAGTTATGTTACGAATTTCGTTAATTTCATCACGTGTAAATCCTAAATTAGTTCCTTCAAACCAAAACCTATCCGAATCACGAATCAAAGTCCATTGTTGAGTGAAGCTTTTATGAAATAGTTCTCCTAAAATCGAACCTTTTATATGATCCTCGGCTAAACCTCCTATGAAAGATTCAACTTGATCCACACTTTTATACACTGCTTGTAAACGTTCTTGAACCTCTGTATTTGATGAAATTTCGGTGAACTGAGTTTTTCTAGTTAATCCAAATGCTTCTCTCGCATCGTTATATAATGGCATTCCTCGATCACGACTTCTTACAACGTCTATACTTGCAACGTCTTGAGTCTTTCCTGTTTTAGCGTTAACCAAAATTCTCATTTGATCAGCATAGAAAACATCAATCTCTTCTTGTCTAGAAAAAAATAATTTCGATTTTTCATTAGATATTAACTAAATATTAAAGAGAAAAAGATAATATTTACTTTTGAAGAGCCATCGAAAGAGCTAACGTTGGAACCCCATAGTTTTCAATGAGATTAGGGGAGTTAAGTGACTTAAGTGGTAATTCGGTAATTCTATAGCCGGATTCATCGACAATATTATATACATCACTTATTTCGGAATGAGCATAACGAGAAGTAACCGTTGCAAAGAAAGTATCAATTGCTGGCGTAAGTGAAGAATCATATCCTGAATAGTTAGGTAAAGGAGCTCCTAATACTATACTAAGGTATTCAAGAGAAGTGACCCTTTGGATAATTGCAATAACCCATTTTCTTGCTTCTTGAAAATATAGTTCATCACTCCAAGTATCCCCATGTTCTTCGAATAATAAGTCACATTTGCGATTATGTTCTCTCATAAGGATAAGCATGATGGTATCTACGAATACATTTTTTCCAGTACGTGTAGTTATTGCAAAAACATATTCCCCATTATCATTGACGGGCGGGTATCCAAAACTACCATCCTCAGTGTTAACATTATAATTTAATTTAAGTTTACCACGATTTCCTTCACGAACTTTCAATGATTGTTCTATTGTAACTCCGTATATTGGTGAACCATCAAGAAATGATGTGACCTCATTAATTCCGTTCCTATTATTAGTTCCTTTTGTTCTATTAAATGGTAAACTTGTTTGTTGCATCGTAGGAATTAAAGGACCCAAAGCGTGTTCTGATTTATAGGTTTCATCATCTGAAGGAATAAATATACCTTTAGGAAAATTTTCTCCATTGAACAAAGTGTTCATAACGTCCATATTAGCGAATTGTCCCCAAAATGTTAACTACAAGAAAAAAAATTGGTGTTAGAGATAAAAATGAATTAGGACGGTTCTGCGCCACACAAACTTACCATGTGAGAGTTTTTTCTCTTTGATTTTTTTGTATCTTGAATCGATAAATCAAATTCGTCACCTAATTTAGCTTGTATGCCATAAACTAAATTGCTAACACATCTTGGAAGTGGAAATATTCCTTCTTGTAAAGGAGCGGCACAAGCTACGTTTCCTTTTGGTACATTTTCCGAATAATCTCCAGGAGTTAAAATCATCAGATCTATTCCATCTTGCCATTCTTGTTTTCCAATATCTCTTTTATATGGTGATTGAGGTGTACCAGACTTTGGGTCATTTAAATTATTTGATTGTCCATCAAGCGCACGTTGTGCTGTTACTACCACCAAGAACTGAAAAATCGCTAGGATTACTGCGGCTAACGACTTATTTAATATTATCGTCATTGTCGTTAATTGGTTTTTTTTTTTTAAAAAAAAAAATTGTCGAATTTTATTTTTTTTTTAACCAGTTTGAGAGATATTTAATTAATATATATATTTGTTTTATTTAATTTAAACTTTATATTATTATTATAGAATTACCTAAAGAGTACTAAAACATCATTATTTTATTATATAAAGTCGAATTAAAAATAGCATTGAATCTATAAGATAAAATAAAAAAATTTTTTTTTTAAAAAACCAACTAATTATGCTCATATTAGGTAGTTTCTTGTGTCAAGGTTATGTTTCAAATATTATTTAATACAATAACCAACATATTGCCATAGCATTCATCAGAATTCTTTGTCCCTAGATCAAATGATTGTAAACAATTCCCTATAAAAAGAATAATTGTTTACTAAATTAAGCTTCTACGAGTAAGATTAATGCATCGGTGTAATGCACTGCGTTTGCTGCAATTTTTTTGAAACAAGCTTACAAAACATCCATTTGGGCAATAATCTTTTTTTTTCTTTTTTTTTCTAAACAACAAACATCATTAATTTTTTTCAATCGGAGTCGGAATTACTATTTTACTGATTTTATGAAACCCTCATTATGGACAGTAATAAAATTAAAGTTACACGATTTATATTATCTATTTACCTCTTTTTTCTTCAAACAAAAGAAAAAAATTAAAAAAAATTTGAAGGAACATTGAATTCAATCACAATTTATTTTATGAGCAAAATTTTTTTGAAGCTTGCTCTTAACTGACGATCAATGGATATTTGAAAATCTAATAACAGTTACCATGAAATTTATCTGCATGTTGTAATTTCCATGATTTTTATTATACTGAATAAGGGCTTGTAGAATTTTTGATGTTTGAGAATTGCAGGCCAATAGCATTTATGGTCAGTTTAATAAAAAAAAAAAAAGAGATTGGATTCGGCATCTAGTCAGGTTTCTCCGACAAAAGGTTCAATTGTCTGGGTTTTAATTTATGATTTTCCCAAATAACTTTCGTTTTACAATTTTCGATTAGATGCGCAAATTGCTAATTCATTATAGGAAAGAGAAACAGGTTATTACCATTACATAAGTAAAAAAAGGGGGTTTCGTCAATAGAAACGCTATCAATTTACTTGGTAATTTATTATCTTTTCTATCCAAATGTTCTTATTTTAAGTTAAATTCTCTAATTATTTTTTTTATGATATAATTTAATCAAATAAAGATATTAGTAATAGAATATATATGGGAACGTTTCCAGTAAAATCAAGTTATGAGGCATAGTAAATCATATGATCCGTAATGTGATTTTACTGGAAACGCTCCCATATAGATCATAGGAAACAATTTTATTTATAATAAATATTTTAAAAAATAAAAATATAAACATAAATTATTATTACATGCAAACTTATTTTCCAAAAATAGTTAAATAATATTAAACATGACAAATTGAAACAAATAGAAGATTATTGACTACAATAATACAAATTATATTCAAATAAAATTTTGCTTTTATTTTCTTTAAATTAATAAAAATTTTGCTCCTAATTTTAAAGCTGAATGTTTTAAAATGTTTCAAAATTTTTATTTTAATATTATAATTATAATTATTATTTTTATGTTTATAATTATAAAAATAAAAGTTTAAAATAAATCTTAAATTAAAGTTAAAATAATTAAATTTACTTTATATTATTTATATTATATATTAATAATTACTTTATAATATAAATTAAAATTTTAATAAAAATAAAAAATTATAAAATAATAAAAAAAATATAAACCAAAAATAATATTATAAAAATAATAATAATAGAAAAATTTGATATTTATTAAAAATTAAAAAAATAATATTAATATGTAATTATAATATTAAAATAATTTTTAAAAGAATAATATTAATTAATAATAATTATTTAATTTAATTATTTATAAATATTATAGTTAATTATAGAATAGAAGAATCTTTGCAAAATAATATAATTATTAGTTTTTTAAATAAAATTTTATTATATTTAAATTAAATTATAAAATTTAAATATAATTAATATTAAATAAATAAATTATTTATTTTACTAATTTTAATTTTCTTTAAATAATAATAATAATAATTATTATTATTATTAAAAATATAAATATATTATTATAAAATATATAAACATTTTGTAATAAAAAAGAATAAAATTCTAAAAAAATTTTTATTTTTGTAATTTTTATATATTTCTGTAAAATATCTATATATATTGTTATAGGATTATTTTAACAATCAATATGTTTCACTAAATTGATCTACTAGAGGAATTACACAAACAATTATACAGAATTGATCTACTGGATGATTTACAAATTAATTTGCATATGTAATGTTGTAAATATTAGAAATGTTAGAAATGTCAAGAATATTAAGAATGTTAAACATTTTTTATAGATTTGATATATTTAATTTATTTAATATAGCTAATATAGTTAAATTGTTATTATATGTAAATTGTTTTATATAAATAGAATAGTTTATAAATATTGAAAAGACAATTTCCTCTAGCCTGATACTAATATTTTTCTTATATTTTATACTTTCTTTTATTTCTTAAGAATTTTACTTATTTTACTTAGCTTTGTATAGTAATTCTCTAACCTTTATTTTTTTTTTATTATCAATAAACTGTTTTATCATTTACATCTGTGTGAACTATAAATGATAGTGTAATATTTAACATCTAAGTTAAAGATAGTTCCCATAATTATTTTTAAAATTTTTAACTAGTTGTAACTTAAGTTACAACTCTTTGAGTTGCAACTATTTATGAATTTTTATATTAAAATAAATTTATAAGAAGTTGTAACCAAGTTGCAACTTAAGTTGCAATCTACTGAGTTGCAACTTCTTAATTATGGTGCTCATCTTTAATCTGAATGATACATAAGTATTAGCAATAAGCTATAATCTAAGTAAAATTTTACATCTTTGTCTGAGTGACATAATATATCTATATGATCTTATAAATCTGAGTGATATTATAAACCTTCATGAATTAAAATAGCATTTAAACCTTCATGACAATTACAGCTATTATAAATTTTTATGATAAAATACCAGTCTAGTAAAATACAATTAAAATATATCTGAGTGATACCAATTATAAGTTTAAAACTTAGGAATAAATCAATAGATTACTATATATATTAAAAAAATAATACTTGAACATCTCATTTAACTGTAGCAATCTACCAAAATCACACATTAACAATATTATTAAAAAAAATGATAAAAATTTTATAAAATAGAATATATTTTATTAAAACTTTAAATTTATTAATTTGTATTAATTTAAAATTTAAAATCAATTAAATTTTAACTTTAACAAAATATTTTTATTAATAAATTTATAAATTTTAATTATTAAAAAACTTTATAAAATATTATTATCTAAATGATTTTCAAAGAAAATTAAATTGCGATATAGCAGAGATGATTGATATACAGATTTTCAGATGATCTATCAATCATATGATATAATGATAATCTATAAAATTGAATTTATTAAAGCTAAAGTTAAAAGAAAATAAAAAAAAAGTAATAAACGTAGTTTATAACAAAACGTATAATCAAACTAAAAATTAGAAATTCCAAAAGAGAATCTTAAGAAAAGCCAATAAAATAACAGAATTATTATGCAAATTTTATATAATAGATTAGCATTTAATATAGAAAATTTTATAAATAATAGGATATTTTAATTATATATTTTTAGTCTTATTATATAAAAAATATAATAAAAGTACTTGTTGAAACTTCTTTATCTAAAAGATTATTTGAATATATTACAAATTATTTTACCTATAATACATCTATTAAGCATATTTTGTGTTACTTTTATTATTTATTTTAGTGATACTCTTGCTATTAATTTCATGACATATTTACTAATCACCTTTGTAACATCTTTATTAATTATTTCTATTACAATATTATTAGTAATCTTAGTGACGCATTTGTTAAATAATTTTATAAAATATTTATTATTATTTTTGTAACATTTTATCAATACTTTGAAATTAGAAAAGTTAAAAAAGTTCTCATATTTCCTAGAAATTCAATTATGAACGAACATCTGAATGTATTTTGAATCTTAAGTAAGTTTTCTTTTATATAAAAATTCTAAGCTGAATCTAATTACTAGTCAAATAATAATATCTAAAATTATATATATAGAAAATATAGAAAATGATTAGTAAAAAAAATTCCTAACTTTAATTATAACTATTTATGTATATGATTAAAATCAGTCAAATAATCCAATAAATAAATTTTAACCAAAATTTGAATTCTTTCTTTTTTATTGATTGTTTTTTATATATTTAAAATAATATTTATTAAATTCTTAAAAGTTACATTAATTCATCATATTGTAATAGAAGAGTCAACAGCAAATCATATGACAACAGAATAAATCACCTGATCTACTAGGGTTCCTCAAAATCGAATCGAATCAAATATTTAAGCAATTTGAATTTGATTTGATTTTTTCAAATCGAATCGA